AAGGGGGTTCTGAAATAAATAGGGAGAGAGGGGGAGGCGGATAGAAGGTAGGTGGAGAGGAGACAGACAGGTCAAAGAGGCGGGGATGGAGCCAGTAAAGGTGAGTGTAGGTGGGGAGGTAGGGCGGAGATAGGTCAGTCCAGGGAGGACGGACAGGTCAAGGAGGCGGGATGAGGTTTGTCGGTAGGAGATGGGGGTGCGGCTTGAGGTGGGAGGAGGGGATAGGTGGGAGGAAGGACAGGTTAGGGAGGCGGGGACGAGTTGGGCTGGTTTTGGGATGCGGTAGGGGGAGGGGAGATTTTGAAGCTTGTGAAGTCCACATTGATACCATTGGGTTGCAGGTTTCCCAAGCGGAATATGAGTTGCTGTTCCTGCAACCTTCGGGTAGCATCATTGTGGCACCGCAGGAGGCCCAGGATGGACATGTTGTCTGAGGAATGGGAGGGGGAGTTGAAATGGTTCGCGACTGGGAGGTGCAGTTGTTTAGTGTGAACCGAGCGTAGGTGTTCTGCAAAGCGGTCCCCAAGCCTCCGCTTGGTTTCCCTGATGTAGAGGAGGCCACAACGCGAAAAGCAGATGCTGTATACCACATTAGCAGATGTGGAAAGTCCTCTTGGGGCCTGGGTTGGGGGTGAGGGGGGAGGTGTAGGGGCAGATGTAGCACTTCCTGCGGTTGCAGGGAAAAGTGCCAGGTGCGGTGGGGCTGGAGGGGAGCGTGGAGCGGACAAGGGAGTCACGGAGAGAGTGGTCCATCCAGAAAGCAGATAAGGGTGGAGAGGGAAAAATGTCTTTGGTGGTGGGGTCGGATTGCAGATGGCGGAAGTGTCGGAGGATGATGCGTTGGATCCAGAGGTTGGTGGGGTGGTACGTGAGGACGAGGGGGATTCTGTTTTGGTTCTTATTGTGGGGAGGGGGTGTGAGGGATGAGGAAATGCGGGAGACACGGTCGAGGACGTTCTCGACGACTGAGGGGGGAAGTTGCGGTCCTTGAAAAACGAGGACATCTGAGATGTACAGGAGTGGAATGCCTCATCCTGGGAGCAGATGCGGCAGAGGCGAAGGAATTGGGAATAGGGGATGGCATTTTTGCAGGAAGGTGGGTGGGAGGAGGTGTATTCTAGGTAGCTGTGGGAGTCGGTGGGCTTGAAATGGACATCGGTTTCTAGGTGGTTGCTGGAGATGGAGACAGAGAGGTCCAGGAAGGAGAGAGAGGTATTAGAGATGGTCCAGGTGAACTTAAGGTTGGGGTGGAAGGTGTTGGTGAAGTGGATGAACTGTTCGAGCTCCTCGTGGGAGTTAGTTGTACAATCTCTCAAACCACCTTCATCATTCAATAAGATTGTGGCTGATCTTCTCCTTGAACTCAGCTCTCCTGTGCTGTTGCCATATCCACCTAGTCCCTGGGAGTTCAAACATCTAGTAACCTGGGAACTCCCCTCATATTTAACATCCACACCCCAAAAAAACTCATAAAGGATTGCTGTGACTTGACTTCTTCCCCCAGCATTAATTTAGATTTAGGCTTTTAAACAGGATAAAATCAGACAGATCTAGTTCTGCCATAATAGGCTCCCCAACCAAGACCAGATATCCTAGTTTAGACTGAGTATAGCAAATGGCAATGAAACAATAGTGGAGTATTTGTCACAGTAGTTAGCACTGTAACTGCAAGTGAAAAGTACAATTTCAAGATTAGCACTAAATTGAGCACATTACTTACCAACTGTACTTGTTAAGTTGTGAATTAACTGAGTCATAGCTGCATCACAAGCAAAGTCAGAAATTCAGAATTTGAATAAGGGAACTGGTGGCTACAATAAACATGTCCTTTCCTTGTCGCAGATTCTTACAAATGTGCACAACCCTCAGTGGTTTTTCTTTTGTCCTTTCTCAATCATCTTTTCTTGCTAGAACCCAGTTGTTGGATGCCATCTGGTGGGCTAACTGTAGGATGATTTCATGAGTTTATGCTTCTAAAGGCATGCCTCGTGCATTCTAACCATTAGCTGAAGTTCAGGTACATGTGAGTTTGTTTTTAAGTAAATGGCTGGAAAAAGATGCACAGATCACCTGGATTTTCAATAATAGTTCTACTGAGAAAGGTTCCTTAGCTGAGAGCTCTTAAGTTAGAACACACACCAATCATAGGTGGTACCAATTGTTAAACATAATGCTGCTCTGGCTGAGAACAGTAAGCTGCACAGAATGCAGTCTGGATCTTGCTCAGTTTCTCATTGACTTGACTTAAACAGCAAAAGCATTGGGGCAGTTTACTTTTCAGATACAATTCTGGCTGAGGTTTATAGTTCAAATTTCTGTCAAGATTATTTGATACCAGGAAAAACATTCTTGCTTGGCAGTCAGTTTGTGGAAAATAAAATGTCGAAAAATATTGCCTCCTTGAGAATTTAATTTCAAAAAGGTTTCTTTAAAAGAAATAAAATTTCAAATTGCAATATTGTTTTCATGATGCTTGTGAAATCCTGTGAGGTCTCCATTCATAGCGCATTTGCACACTTTCTTTTTGAAATGATCTTTCCATTTTAGCTTTCTCGTTCCTTCTAAGGTACAGGTTCACAGTCATTGTCACCTTGTCTGAATGTCCAGCCTGAAAATGCAAGTTTAGAATGTTCGCCATTAGAGAGTGTCTTAGCCAGTCAGATTCTTCACTTGACATTTCCATATTTGCACCTCCAGCATGATTCATTGGATATGGATGATGAGCAAGTATCTTAGTCAAAGATAATTAAAACTAAGTTTTGTTCTCCAGGTCTTGGAATAGTGACTCAGACTAGGGGTTGAAGCAGAATTTTCTTGGTCTCTTTGGCTCTGTATAGTTGTTTGTGATTCATTGTTTCTTAGAGGAGAATCTTCTCCAGTATCTATTCTGAAATTTTCACAATGGAAGACTGACAGAATTTATTGACTGCTGTTATCATTTAGAAAATGAGCAAATAGGTCATGGGAAGTGTCTTTATCCTGAAAGTTATTGGCAAATGGACTGCTTTTCTCCCCACAAGCTGGGAGATACCCATTGTATCTTTTAACAGAAACTTGGGTGAACCTTTGAAGCAGTGGAAGATAGAGGATAGTGAGAAGATGAAGCCAGTGAAATTATTTTAAGTGGCAACATTGACCTGATAGGCCAAATGGCCTCCTTTCTGGCTGTAAACTTACTGATTGTGCAGCTACAGGAGCTTCAGAACAACAGACTGGGAGATGACACAAAACCTTTCTGGTTTCTGCAGCTCTGTCCAGTCACATATGATTTATTGCTGCTCCTTGTTATTCCAGAGACGCTTTCCTGATTTCTCTTATATCACTCAAAATGGAAGACTGACTGAATTTCTTGACTGTGTCATCATAAGGTAAATATTACTTCCGTAGTCTGTAACTTGTGGCACCTTTTTCACCTTGGAGGAGGTAGAGAGGAGACTTGGCTTCTGGCTGTAGTTTGTTTTGGATTTTGTTTGCTGCTGGATTTGTTGGGTGTTTTCAACATTTCTGTAGTGTTGCAGTAATCAGTGGTATTTTGTTGTCACAAATAAATTTTAGTCAAAAAGCTTTAAAATTAGTTTTGCTGTTATTTTCAAAATATTAAGGATTATTTTAACATACTGCATAGTTCTTCAGTTCCATACAGAATCATTTTTCCTCTCATTATCTGTAAAAAGTATGGTCCATTTAGACTATGTATATAGAATGAAGAGACTAGTTGACTCCAAGTGTGGCTTGGGTGAAACTCTCAGCTTCAATCTCTCAAAAGCAGGATTTTGACTAAATTAATCTTGAATTTTTCAACGTGTCTGAAAAAAATGCTGTTATTGTCCTCTTTAACTGTACAGTGTTTTGTTCTTGCTAGTCATTTCCATCTCGATCACTGTGGTGCCCTTCCTTATATGAGTGAGATGATTGGTTATGATGGTCCCATATACATGACCCATCCAACAAAAGCCATTTGTCCGATCCTTTTAGAAGATTACCGGAAGATTACAGTCGATAAAAAAGGAGAGACAAACTTCTTTACTTCTCAGATGATAAAAGACTGCATGAAGAAAGTTGTAGCTGTTCATCTGCACCAAACTGTACAGGTAAACAATGCCCTGTTTACAATCCTTTGCTTAAAAAGTAAAAGATATTGACTAGAAGAACAGATACACAGGGTATGTAGATAATGCACCAATGTGGCAAAGTTCTCCAGGCTCGTAATATCTAAGATTTGTTTTAGTATTAGTCATAAAGAGGGTTTCTTTTTAACTCCGCTGTCCCTAATTCCAGAATGGACTGATCCACTGACCTTCCATTCGGTAATGCCTGTCAGCATACCCTGTTCTCATGCTGCAACCAGGGTTGCTAGAATCATTTGGATTAGAAGATACTAATTTGTACTTTGGAATGATCTTCTAGGTTGACGATGAGCTTGAAATTAAAGCATATTATGCTGGACATGTGCTTGGTGCAGCCATGGTTCTAATCCGAGTGGGCTCTGAATCAGTGGTATATACCGTGAGTATAAATAAACCTCAGCCACCAGGCCACTCGTTTATAATCACAAAGTGTGCTTCTACATGATTTATTCCAATAGAAATTTGATTTTATGGAAGGGTTGTGCTATCTTGGCTACAAATTGTCATGTAGGTGCTATAATGTCTCTCATTGCATTGATCCCATAGAGTAGCTGCTTTTGTCCTGTTAATTTTAATTACTTTCACCATTGCTGAAGCTGTTGACCATTCTACTAGCAGTAAGTGGCCTGCAGTACTGTTCATGTATGATCTCATGCTGTAAAAACTACAAAACTATTGAATCGTGGTGGGAGAGGCATCACAACCTGGTACAATGGTATCCTCACCCAACATTCACATACTCGCCCTTTCTAATAAGAGTCACTGCTTGGTATTCAGTGATGGAACATTATCTGGATATTCCTGTCCACCACCACCTCTTATTTGTTCATAGGATTTCAGTGTTGCTGCTAGTCCAGCATTCCTTACCTCAATTGCCGTTGGAAAAATGGTGATGAGCTTCTACCTTGATCTATTTCAGTCTGTGCGATGCCTAAAGTGCTGGTAGGGAGGGAATTCCAGGACTTTGTTCCAGTGTCATTGAAGAAACGGCATTGTAGTTCCATGTCAGGATGGTGTAAGGCTTGGAGGAGTAAAGGACTAGAAGTAGTGGAGCCAAATTTTTTTCAGTTTTGCACTTATTGACAAGCATATAGCATCTAACTCAACCACTTCACAGTTCCAATATGTCTTTTGAAACCTTGATTAATATCCACCTCCTGCATAAAGTTAAACACAATTAATATGCAATTAACAAGTAGAAGAGAATGGAGCTTCAGGAAGTGAATTGCTTGCCACAGAATCCTGAGCCTCTGACCTGCTTTTGTACTCCTAGTATTCATATGATTGGTCCAGTCAAGTTTCTGGTCAATGACAACCCCAATGACAATGACAATGACAATGACAACAACGTTGATGATGCAAAATTCAGCAATTGTAATGCAGTTGAATATCGAGGAAAGATAGTTAGACAGTGTAATATTGGAGATGGTCATTGCTTGGCACTTGACATGAGTATTATTTGCCACTTATCAGCCCAGAAATGAATGTTGTCTGGAGATTTTGCTGCATGTGGACATAAATCGCTTCAATATGTGGGAAGTAGGAATTGAAAATGAAACTGAAGACTGTACAATCATTAGCAAACATCCTCACGTGTGACATGATGAAACAGCTGAATTCTCTAACCCAGACGTTATTTGTAGTGTTACAAAGTTGGATAGAGTATTCATGAATTGGAAGGCAGGAAGTTGGAATTTGTTGGTAAAAATGATCATGGGGAACAGAGTGCCGTGGTCCCTTTAAGGGCTTGTGCTTTGTCTGTGCTTAGAAGTTTATAAATGCAGGTGCACAGAGAGTGATTGAATGAAAACATTTTGTATAGAACAGCCCAGCAGCATTTTTATTACGACAACAAGTTTGAATTTGGCCAATTAATTTAAACCAAGCACTTAGATACAGAAAGCCAACCGAATTTAAATCTGGTGGTGTTGACAACCTGAAACCAATCATATAATAAGAATTTAATTATGCCATTATATAAGGCGAGGGCATTTGGAAAATTGGAGACAGCCATCCGCCACCTGCCAGAGTTAGCACCATTCAGCTGTCAAAGAAAGCCTGTCTAATTAATCAACGGTACCATGGTATTTTAGCTCAAAGTCCTCATTGAAGAAATTATAGAGAGAAAACATCCCTGACAGCAGAATTAACGGAAGAAAGGCGTTTGCGAAGAGAGCGGAGAAGACAAAATATTCCAGAAGACAGTCTGTGCAAACTTGGAGAATTTAAGAGAACAATGAATTATAACTTATTAATTGGGTTTATTAAGTGGGACTTGTATTTATTTGAACAGTATTCCAGTAGGATTTAGACCAGTTAGGAAGTAGTTAGTAGTATAAGGGGGAATTGTTGGTTTGTTAGTGATACTGTTAATTTGTTCATTGTTAGGTTAAATAAATAAATTGTTTTTTGTTACTTGTAAAGTGGAGATCAGAGATTTTATTTCTTTTAACCACCCTTTTAATAGATTACAAGGGGAAAGTAGGCTTCTGTCAGTATTTTGAGGGGAACCCCTACTCCCATCATAACAGATTAGGGCTTGTGTTTTAGTTTGATTATCAGAGGGGTTTGGCTATTCCCCCTCCATAACGGTAGTGATCTATTGGAGCTGGTCTGAACACAGACTGGATCATTAATTTATTTAAATTAGATAGGACACTGAGGCAAAACTCACCAATAAATATAGATATCTACTTGAGTGTTTTTATAAGTTGATATTTATTTCTTTCCCTGCTCTGATGCATCTATTTTGGTTTAAAATTTTGCAGGGTGATTACAACATGACACCAGATCGACATTTGGGGTGAGTTTGTCCATTGTATTTTATTCATATTGTTCTGCAAAGCATATTTACTTCAATTACAATTTGCCAGCGAACTGTTCAGAGTATTACAAAATTACCACTTCTCCTCCATGCTCACTAATGGATATGGCACTGGGCTACAAATCTGTCAGGCATCTTTAGGCTCCATTTAGTTTCATCCAGACTCTGTGCTCTAGATCCAATCTCCTGAAACACCATTTGGTGCATGTGAGTTTGTTTTCTCCATGGATATCTTTAGATGCTGACTCCCTTTGTCTTTAATTTCCGCTCAGATTACTGAGCATTGGCAGCAATGAAAACAGTTAAAATCTCCAACCGTGGCAATTTTTAAAGCACTTTAAGATTTTTTTTCATCCAGTTTGTACTGTGTACATTACACATTTGCATTTTGGATATCAGAATGACTACCATTGAAAATTGGAAAGTTTTGGCACTTGCATTATTTTTAAGTTATGATGTTCCTAATGTACATTTGTGGTGGTTTAATTACTTAAAACTTTGTCATTATTCTTGTGTGAACATTAAATAATGAAAATGTTTAGGAAGTGCAGGCTTTTATTTGGTTTCTGTTCGTTTAGGAAATGTGGATATAGACCTCAGATTATGCTGTTGAAGTAGTTCTGGACAAGTGTTTAATATTCATTATACTTTTTATTTTATTGAAAATGATTGTGATACAACAAAGTGTGTCACTAGCATGTTTTTTTTGTAAGGATACATAGACCTACATTCAGTATATGGTCTTATGCCCTGTTTACTTTGCTGCCATTGATAACAGGTACAGATTTGACACTATTGTTGGTTCCATTGAGTTGATGCTGCTCCTGCTGGAGGACCTCGAGAGATTTTGCTTGTCTCCTTAACCAGAACCACCAACATAAAATATGAACACGGGCTTTTGGCCTAGCAAGTCTTTCTTCCCGGTCACAGATTCTGAGAACTCAGCCACCTTGTAAGAGCAGTTCTACGATTTTAGACTTTCTCCGGTCTCTGGCTAGTAATCACTTTTCAGATGATTTGTGCCTGGGATTGCACATCCATAGTTGCCAGAGGTTTTATATGATACTCTGTTCCACGTAAAGGGAATGATTTTTGTTCAAAACGGTTCTAAATTATACAGGGAGCGTGAGAGTTCGGCAGTTCACTTACATAATGGATTTTGTTACTTCGCAGTCTGAGGTTTGTGGTCATATGCTGCCCCCAAAGATTATTTGTCTTCAAGCCGTTTACTACCACTTGAAGTGCACCGTTGCTTTTGACTTGAAAACGAGATTAATTAACTGGAGTTCAACTGCATGTAACTAACTCACGCCATTATTTGATTTTAACCATCCTCTTTCACAAACCTGTAAATGGGATGAGGGAAATGGGGGAAGAATTTGCAATCCTCAAGATGGCGTACCATCTTGTGTGATTCTCATAAATATCAGATTGATCAGTTTTAGCTTGTTGTTTTCAGAATGATGGTACATTCTAAGCTTGAATATCCTCTCCCCACAAACATCAGGAAGTCCTGTCAGTGAGAATGGCATGCTGATTTCCAACTGAAAATATATATTCTCACAATATAAATGGATGTCCAAATCACTTTCTGAGGTCTTCCAGATTACTTGAAAAGAGGCAGAATGAATTTTAAGTTTATATTTAATATGTTTGTTAATATCTCTCAGCAACAGCTAAAGTGAGAATGCGTTTTCCTCATCCTAGTTCTGAGTTCCATTTTCATTAGAACTTTTCATTGAATCCCAAAGGCTTCGATAAATTGCTTGTGTTTTTCATTCTGTTACGGGATTCTGCTTGCAAGTAAAACATGTCCTATTTAAATGATTCCTTAGGGGCCGAAAAATAGAAATTATTTAAGACACAAACAGGTTGTTGGAAAAGAGGAATATTAAGCCATAAGACATCGGAACAGGAGTAGGCCATTTGGCCCATCAAGTCTGTGCAATCATTCAGATCAGCCATGCTGATCTCAATGATAGCCCTGAACTCCACTTTCCTGCCATATCTCCATAAGCCTCTATTCTTTTCTTTTACTGATTAAAAATCTATCTATCTCAGCATTGAATATACTTAACAACCCGGCCTTAACAGCTCTCTGCAATAAAGAATTCCATAGATTCACTACCCTCTGAGAGTGAAAGAAATTCTCTTTATCCCTGGCCTAAATGGATGACCCCTTACACTGAGATTAAGCCCTCTGGTTCTGGACTCTCTCCACATCCACCCTGTCAAACCCCGTACAAATCTTGTGTTTCAATAGCGTCTCCTATCATTTTTCTAATCTCCAATGAGTGCAGGCTCAACCTTCTCTACCTCTCCTCATAAGGAAGTCCCTCCATAATCTGAATCAACTTAGTGAACCTTCTCCGGACTGTATGTAATGTCAGTATGTCTTTCCTTAGATAACGGGACCAAAACTGTTCACGCTATTCCAAGTGTGGTCTGACTAGTGCTTTGAATAGCTTTGAATAGCTTTAACAAGACTTCCCTATTTTTATTTTCCATTCTCTTTGATGTGAAGGTTAGCATGAAGACTGTTACGGGAGGTGGAATTGCAGGGCAGTGGGGAATGAATGGGAAAATGGGCTGAATGGATAACTCTTCTAAAGAGCCAATACAGATTTGAACAGCCAACTAGCCGCCTCCTATATTGCACGATTCTGTGATAGAATGTGACACATATAGAGAAAAATAGCAGTCCAGAATTGACACGTCTTTTTGAAATGCAGTGATTTAAAGAACTAAAGTAATTTGTCAAACTCTGACTTAATTTTATTTCAGAGCTGCTTGGATTGACAAGTGTCGTCCTGACTTATTTATCTCAGAATCTACATATGCTACTACAATCCGAGACTCAAAGCGATGCCGAGAAAGAGACTTCCTGAAGAAAGTGCATGATGCAATAGAAAGGGGTGGAAAGGTATGACTATAAATGCTGCACTCTGCAATAGGTGTTAAGTAAATCTATTTTCCGAATATTCCACACATTGTTCTTTCAGAATTTTTTTCAACGTTTATGTAAGTGTGGTTGTTGGCTCATCTGATTAAAGCTAAACCAAGTACATGAGCCTGGCCTGCACTGAAGTAACTGATCCTAACCTTAGTGCTGTACCTCGCCTCTGAGGCCTGGACTCAAGTGGCCTCTACTGAAGCCGTAAGCCAATATTGAAAGAAGATAGTGTCACTTTCTCTGGGGTATCCTTAGCAATTTCATAAACAGCAGACAAATCAGGGGGAAACCAGTGTCTACAGACTCAGATTTGATGTCAGGACAGACAAAAAGGGGTTAATGAGTAAAGAAAAGAAAAAGATAAAAATTCCATGTTTAACGTCTATCAGTCAAGCTCAGTGGATTCGCAGTTTGGTTATCAAGATTATTCTGATAAAGCAGGGATAGCACACAGGGTGGGAGAGGGTGTGCAAATGTGGTTCCTTCCCCATTTTAAGGTTGTACATTTTGCCCTCATTTTTAGCATACACATCTATTATAATTGCTTGTGCCCATGTTCAAAATGGGTACTGCCTATTCAAGCTTCTCATATGATGAGTGCAGCCTCCTGAACTGGTGCTGTAAGTTCCATTGTAAATGTTGCATTCTTTGTTGACAGGAAGTGCAGCAGATGTAAAGTTTTTAATATACCAACAGTAGTTGTTTGGGTTGGAAAAATAATATGTTACTCAAGGGTCTGAATGTGAGGGGACAATTGGAAAAGACAGAAAAAGGGAAAAGAGACAGTGGAAGAAGAGTTTGAGAGATTAGGGATAAGGTGAGGTGGACGAGGATGAGGAAAATGAGCGCTCCAATGAATGCTAGTTAGCCTATGTGCTAATAGGAGAGAATACTACCATTGAGCCAAGATGATTCGTAGAAGGGCTTCAGATTCTTTAATCTCCCTTTTGACTTGTTTTTTATATATTTATATGATATAGAAATCTTAATAATTCAAGTTATTAGCACATGGTTACAGTATGTTGAAAAAGAAAATGTTTAATTGGTTTAATGTTCATAGGACACAATATTATATTCTGATTAATTTGGCCAATTGTCCATGACTGTTACAGTCAGCATCCCTGATTTTATAATTTGCTTTTAGACTGGTATAGTTCAGACTAGAAGGTTTATTTACAAGCTAATTAAGTTGGTGATCTGCACCTTGATGCAGGATGAAGTGGCATTTCAGCTGCACTAGCTATGGTCAATCTTTCCATCCTCCTAGACTCAGACCCATTTCAACTTAGACTGCTGCTAGTGAAGCAAAGAACCCTCCAGCACCTCCAGATTCTCCCAGCTTTTAGCCCAAGGCTGAAACTAAAGGCATTCATCCACTTTGGAACAAGTCAACAAACCCCAAAACAAATGTGTGGATATAGAACCTGCACGCTGTCTGAGAGCAGGAACAACACCATGTACAGGCTTCACATGGAACTGGCAAAATACCCAACCGTACCACTGGTTGCAAATGAGTAATAATATTTCACATTGAATAATAAAATAATATGGCAAAACCAGTGAAAGAAGTAGTGTGTTGTTCTAGACGGCAGAGATTGGAAAGTTATTCAGTAGATTTCTTCCTATTATCGAGTGTGTTATTAAAACTATTTGATTTAAAGAAAAAGAAGTAACTGCAGATGCTAGTAATCAGAAACAAAAACAAATTGCTGGAAAAACTTAGTAGATCTGGCAGCATCTGTGAAGAGAAATCAGAGTTAATGTTTCGGCTTCAGTGACCCTTCTTCAGAACAGGTTTAAGGAATTGTTTTGCTTACTGCTGCTGATTTAAAATTTAAGTGAAACTCTGAAGGAACCATGCAAGTTGAATTACTTTTTGATGTTAAGCTCCTAACTTTCTCTGCAGTTTCCAGCATTCTCTCTTTTTATTTCTTCTCTGGGGAGGAAAGGGCCTGACCTCTTTACAGTTGCAATGGTGATTATGGCATTTATCTTATGTCTCTTATTTTTCAGTCTGCCTCCGACACAGGTTATGTTAAGCCATCCTCCGATGAATGACCATTGATAGATTTCTCGCTCTCCCCTTGGTGTTGTCTGATACATTTGTAAAATTTATCATGGTTCCTTGTGATATTCTTTAATTTTCTCCATTCCTCCCCTTTATGTGCTGGCTCATCCTGAATGGAGCTGATCACCACCTCAACCATGATCTAAATGATTCTGGAGCAGGTGGTGGGCCTGAATGGCCTATTCCCTGTTCCTGTGTTCCACACATGCTCAACAGTCTCCAAATCAATGTATGAGTCTGGCAGCGAGTATCGGTGCTTGCTATTGTATTGAGGAGAGACCTCATGGCATATTCTTCCCAGCTCCGACATACATAAACATATAATTGTTTACCTGTGGGAGTCAGTGAGTCAGACATCAACTCCAGCCTCTCCTCCATCCACCCCCACTCCTCCTCGACAGGGCCTGATGGAGCTAAAAGCACTAGGCTGGTGAAATCTTGACGTGGACAAATGAGTGAAATAGGAATCCAATGTCTGTCTGACCTAGTCTTATATCCATATTATCTCCACAGAGTAGACGTCCAGGGAAACTCAATGGATGAAACATGAATGAATGTAGTGCTATTTTTTAAAAACAGTTGTTTGGTGCTTTTAACTAGTGTACAATATTGTGTTAAATGTATTTATACAAGCCTTGTTTTTAATAGGTGCTGATTCCTGTCTTTGCCCTGGGACGAGCCCAGGAGCTTTGCATCCTTCTGGAAACGTTCTGGTAATTTTTCTCAGCTTTCAAATAAATAGCATAGCCAAAGATGGTGGAGATTATTTTTCATGATGGTTGAAAGAGAGTGGGTGCAAACTAGTTACATTTTCTGCTCAACTTTTAGTTCTGACATCCAACTCCAAGTTAGCTCTGTCTGCTCAGCTTTCTGCCTTGGCCTTTCGATCAACACAATCTCCAAAAGAAAATCACTCAGTTCACCTTAGTGCTTAAATAATTAAAGCCAATCAGATGTTAGAAATAACCCAATTACTGCAGTGTTCATTTTACTGTTAAAGATACTGTTTTGAATTAAATATTTTAGCCATGTGTGGCATAAAGTACTGTTTTATATATTTTCCTTTCAGCTACACCTGTATTGGCCTCCCTCTGCTGTGTTCACTCAGTAATAAATGTTATTAAACTTTTAATGTTTCTTTGGTGATATTGCTCCTAGCCACAACCTCACCCTTGACACCCAGCTTTACCCCTCTGCCACTTCACTCAGTGCCTCTGTTGTCAGACTGCTTTTCCAACATGCAAGCCTGGATTTGCTCCAGTTCAACATTTTGAAGTTCAAAGCCATTGTCTTCAGCCACCAATTGTTCCATTGCTCCTCCCTGACCATTGTTTTAGGCTGATCCTGACTGTTTCCAAACTCAGTGTCCTTTTTAACCCCAAGCTGAATTTCCAACTCCAGTCCACCCAAGCGTAAAGATCAATCCCCCTCACCAGGAAGACACTGGCATAGTGGTGATTTCAATGCTTTGGAGACTTGGGTTCGAATCACCATGGCAGCGGTCGAATTAAAATTTGGTTAATAAAATATCAGTAATGGTGACCTTGAAACTATCAGCAATATAAAATCTCATCGGGTTCATAATACCCTTTAGGAAAATGTACCTGCCACCCTCACCTGATCTGACCTATGTGTGACTCCAGACCCACAGCAATGTGGTTGACATTGGTCTTGAACTGAATGACTTGCTTAGCCAATGAGGGATGGTCGACAAATGCTCATGAAAGAATAAAATTCCATCACATGCCTCTATTCCTTTACTCAGCTCATCTGCATCCAAATCCTCCTCCTGTCACATTGTCGTGTTTTCAGAATGCTTTCCTGGTTGGGCTTCTACCTTCTCAATTTAAGCTTATCCAAAGCTCACCTACCTTATCTCTGCAACCTTCTGCAACTCTTCAACACATACAAATTTACTGTTTATCTGTATCTGGCCCCCAACCTTTGCCCCTTATAAATTTTCAAGTGCATAATTTTCTGAAAGTGAGAGATGAAGTGAAGATATAATTACAAAAGATATAATTACAAAAGATATCTAGTAGCAGTTTGGAAAATAAGAACAACATTAGAACTCTAATGTGCTTCCTAGACCTCTATTGAATGAGCCATGATAGATCTCATGCCCATGCCGTCCATGTGGTCACATTTTTGACACTGTTTTCCCCTTTTCCTGGCCCCTGCGTACACAGAAGATCCAGATGTACTAAAAGTTTTCAATTCAGAGACTCCAAGTCTCTTGTTCCCTCCCAGTTCTCTCTCAAACCAATCGTAAGTATCTCTAGCTCCTGTATCCTTATGATTCCTCCAGACTAGCAGTTCCTTATCGTTGGCATGGGTTTTTATTTACATATTTTTCTCTAATATCGCACTGGGTTATGTGACATATTGAACAATAGTTGGCATAACATTTTGTCATTAAAATGCCATGGGCCAGTTTTGCTGTTAAAATAACGGTGAAGGTAATCCCCTTCTCATTGCATCTATGTGAATGGTATAGCAACTTTAAGAGCGGCAAGTGCACAGTTAAAAAATGAATGACAAGAAGTTATAGTCCAAGATGCGTCACTAGTTGGCTTTGTAAAACAGCAGTTCCTTGTCTGCCTCACTATCAGATGTCATAATTGCCATGCAGGTGCTGAATGTGCGTAGTAGATACAAAAGCCAGTTTCACATATTCAGAGCTAGTAATTAGTAGTCTAAGTACCCTTTCAACAGTGTAGTAGTTATTGTTAATTGCAGTCAGTCAGCATCTCTGGTACTGAAAGTTAACAAATTGTAAATGTGATTTCTAATTTGTTAATGTTTGTACTTATTCAAGCAGTTTAAAAAAGTTATTTTTTTAACATCTTTTCCATTTTGTCTTTTCTCTCTCTGTATTTGATCTTTCTTTCCATCTGTTGATTATCTTTCACAATTAATTTGGCATTGAATTTACCTGTTTTAATTTGCTCTGCTTTTCAGTCATCCAGTTAAATCCTTAGTGATATTATAGTAACTAAGAAAGGCAGTTTCTATATTTGCTTGTCATGTCTACTTGCAGGGAGAGAATGAACTTGAAAGCACCCATTTACTTTTCAACTGGATTGACGGAGAAAGCTAATCATTATTATAAATTATTCATTACATGGACTAATCAAAAAATTCGGAAGACATTTGTGCAGAGGAACATGTTTGAGTTCAAACATATCAAAGCGTTTGATAGGACGTATGCTGACAACCCTGGACCAATGGTATATTACTGATTTTTTTTCTTGGTTTGTGGTATCAACCCGTTTCAAATAATTTGTTTGTGCACAGAACTTGATTGTTCAAAATGTTTTATTTTCCTTTGTTTGAATTGCAATTATGAGCATTTTACCTTGGACTAGATTCATATTTTGAACAATGAAAGCCTACGTAAGTCTATTGTCATTGTTGTATTGTTATAGTTGACATTTCCTAAGGTGTTACTAGGGTTAGTTGCAAACAGAAACTAGATAAATTGGGGTTCATTACACCAAAACAGGGAAGGGGGAGGGAGGAGTTGATACAGCTGCTCAACATAATATATTTTGATTAGATTAAATGGAAAATAATATTAATGTACTGATTTGCTACCAATGGTATTTAGCTTGTATTTGGAAAACCTTCAAGTAACTCAAAGAATCAAGGAAATATTCAGAGAAATCATTTCATGCAAAGAGTTGTTGAGAGATTGAGTACCTGATCAGAAACTGAGAGAAGCAGAATTCATCACTACTGTAAAAGGGGTATCAATAAATATTTGGAGATGGAAAATTAAAAAGTATATGGTGTATGGTTAAGAGAATGTTACAAGGTATCTGGGCCATTCTGATAAAATGGATCAAGTAGATTGTGATGAATTTGATGATTCACTAGTTCAGTCTAGCTAGTTTTGCTCGGCTGATTTACCTGAAAGCTAAACCAAACCACGCACGTTTTTTAAAATATTTCTTTCTCAAGCCACTTTTGAGTCTTTTACACCAAATGTGCAGTTGCATAAGTGCTGACAGCACATCACCGAGGACTGTTTATATGTGAATATTGGCAAACTATTCAACCATAAAGAGCACGCTGTTGAATCTATGGCATAGTTTTCCAGCAGCGGTTACTGAATAGTAGTTAGACGCAGAAACATTGGTTGCAGTTGTAGTTTTGCTGTCTATCTTGGTGGTACTGGGCCCAATTGTAGTAGCCCAGCTATAACCTTAATGAGAATAACTAACTGGTCAAGCCTGAGACTCAGCCTTCCCACATGGCTGAATAGTCTACGATGTTGGTGGCAGATTATGTTGTACTTGGAAACTCTCAAACGTACAGTAAATAAGATTCTGATAAAACTGTTCTGGGTGTTAAATTATTTCTAAAATCCTACTTGGAACTTTGAGGCAAAAATACCCAATTCCGAATACCGAAGTAGAATTTCAAAATTTCAACCCTGTCTCATTTTCAGTACTTGCTCTATACCGTAACCAAAATCAAAATTAAAATGAGCTCAAGTTTGGTCTTCAGGTTTCAGCGTTGTTGTTGATCACTTGCGTTTATGAATAGCTCTCATAGTTGGTTGAATTATCTGTATGAAAAGTGTTTATCCGTACTTGAATATTCAACTTATACTTGAACTGTCTTTAGCATTTTAATTTATTCTTTCATTTAATTATTCTCAAAGTTGTGCTTTATTAAAAAATTGACTATGTAATTAAAATGTGAAAGATTTGTGCAGTAATATTTGAAGATGGCAGTCATACTAAAGGTTGATTTTTCTAGGTTGTCTTTGCCACACCAGGCATGCTTCATGCTGGGCAGTCACTCCAGATTTTCAGGAAATGGGCAGGCAATGATAAAAATATGGTAAGGCAGCTGGTCTACTGACACCAAGTTTTCAATGTTTATCTTTTGTCATCTATAAATTCAAAACTATAAGGCATCTGGCTCTAAACTGTTAATTTGCTGTCCCAGGTTATCATGCCAGGGTATTGTGTCCAAGGAACTGTAGGACATAAAATCCTAAGTGGCCAGCGGAAACTTGAAATGGAAGGAAGGCAAACTGTAAGCATTTCTTTATAATGTAAATAAATGGGGGGTTGGTGGGGGTTAAACATTCAGGTTTGTACAGTCCAGAAAAGACCATTGTAGCCCCAAAAATAAGACTTTTATTGATATGGTACTAAATCAGATTGCATCACATGAGGTTAGTCGCTCTGCAATGTGGTGACTGTTGAAAGCAAGTTACCACGAAATGGGAGTAAAATGAATGACCAATTCATCTGAGTTGTTTGGCAGTATAACTTGAGGAACTAATTTATTACACATCTGGTGAATTCCTAAAGTTTTTCCAAAAGTCTTATGGATTTTTAACATCCTCCTGATTTGGAGGAAGGAAGGAGCTTGCATATCTTATTTGTAAGATGGTAGTGCAGCAATAGTTAATACCCCTGTATTCTCCTCTCCAGTATCTTTCATTATTTCAATATGTAAACCCACTGACCTTGATGACATTCTACTCTTTATTTAGAGTTCAAACTTGCAATAAAATCTCCCTCAACTCTTTTTTTTTCTGTTGAGCATTCCAACTTCATTTTCCATTCTTTTATCTTAGATCACTAATCTCTGAATTTAGTAGCCCTTCTCTGTATTCTCTTTTAAAATCAGGATCTTCTGATTTTAATCGATGACCAAAATTGTACGTGTTTCACCCAAGCTATCCACTCAGACCCCCATATGCTCTTCTGGATTGTGCAGTCTTCTCCCATTCACAATGCAGTTCCATTGTTTCTTCCCTCTCTCCACTAGCATTTGTCCACATCTGCCAACTGTTACTCTGAGCTTTAATTTACCCAGATTTCCTGTAATTGGTTTGCTTAATCCATGTTATTTGTAGCTCTTCCTTCCCCTCTGCTAAATTTCATATCATTAACAAACCTAAACAGCCTTGTTTCTGTCCCGACCCTGAATTATGTATCTAAACTGTGTAAAACAAGCCTCATCACAGACTCCTCAGTCGCCCACTGATCTCCTCCCTCTATCTTTCTGTAGCTCCATCCCCTTTGTTTCCTGTGACTCAGCTAATTTGTGACATACTGCAGGAGATCCTTCAGGGCACCAACTGTTTCACAAACTTAACTGTTTCACAAACTTAACTGTTTACTCTGGATATATTTGTAAAAGTCTTCCACATATTAATGGTATCTTGTATTTCTTGTTGTTTTAATCTTATTCTTCATTTCACTTTTTCTGATCAACTTCTCAGCCTATTTTCATATCTATCTTGGTCCCTGATCAATCTAGATGTATACATGTGGAAGGTTATCTTCATTCTTTTCTGTTAGTAAATCAGCATTATCATTTGAGTCAGTTGTCTACTTCTAAGTTGTAAATATATATTGTGGCATATCCAATGCTTTGTGTTGAAACGAGGTGAGAAGGCCTTCTTTTAATTTCACATCATCAGTCAAATTGATCCAGTCTCCTCTTGAGCAATTTCTTAACTGTTAGACACTGTAAATTGCAATGCTTGTCACAAAATAGTATCTAAAAAAATAATAACTTTTGTCATGCATTAAAACAAAATTTGAAATTTACATTTTGTTTCTTTATTCAAGATCATTTTATTTTCATTTGTTAAAAAGAAACTTGATAACACCGCTCATTAGTTCTATTATTAATGTATCATTCCCAGCTAGAAGTGAAGATGCAGGTGGAATACATGTCATTCAGTGCACATGCTGATGCCAAAGGCATCATGCAGCTTATCCGTCAAGTAGAACCACAAAATGTGCTGCTGGTCCATGGAGAGGCTAAGAAAATGGGATTCCTTAAAGAGAAAATTGAACAGGAGTTCAGTAAGTCTTACTGATACTTGGGCACTATTATTATCTGCTACAGGGCAAATGCAGACTATTAAGATATTTCAGTACTCAGATCTAATCTTTTTATATGTAGAAAATGTTGAGGATTGTATAGAGTAAGAATAAGGCAGATCGCTTTGCAAATCAGCATACTCTACCAATTTGCTAACAGTAGATGCTTCATCTTTTTTTATTCCATTTGCTATTTTCTCACATTCTTTTATAAATACTTTACTCAAAAATGCCTTAATTAGTTCTGCTTTTGTGGCTAGACATATCACATTCTCACAACCCTGTGCACAAGGAAATTGCTTCTGAATTTCCTGCCATTTGACTTTGTTCAAATTTTCAGATATTGGATTTTAAAATTTAGATTCCAATGCACCATGTAATGTTTTTCCCTCTTCTGTATTCTGTTATTCCATTCTATGTAATAAATACTTAAGTTGGATAACCCCTTAACCTCTCAAAGAAATCGACTTTTGATGTAGCTAAATCCCATCATCCCAAGTATCATCATGGTGGGTTGTTGCTGTTTAACTCCAGAAATACTCTGCCCTCCTTAAAGTGGGGCAGGCCACATCCTATGGAAAATAAAAGCAGGCGTTGGCCACTACTTCAAACACTGCTTTAAATACTGCTTTATTTTTATTTTTTATAAGTCTTGTGATGAATTCCTTTCTTCGCCTACATCTCCTCTGTGCTTCATTTAAACAGCAATCCCATCTTTCTTTCTTGTGTCCGAAATGTACTACCTCACAGGATTGTCTGCGACAGTCATTAACTGAACTATCCTCTTTTTAAACTTTACTGTAGTGCCCAGTTTAACATCATTTGGAAGGTTGTACAGATTTTGATCATTTAATATAAAGTATACAGCTGAGGTCCTAGCAGCAATTCTGCAGAGCGCCAAACCAAAAAATATTGCTTTAATATGTTTGCCTTGTAGCTTCTAATCACTTTTCTGTACAAACTATGAAGTTGCCTACATTTTAACACAGTGATCCCTTATGGAGAAACATATTAAGATAAACTCTGGCTAAAGTATGTTATATTTATTGGACTTTGACCAACCTGATTTTATGATTTATCACATTGCTCTTTGCATGCCTAGAACCTGAATTTGAATTCTGTCCAGTCAGCTTGAATAGAGGTGTCCTGTCTGCCAGTTCTGGCAATCCCAAATAAAATTACTCTAGGTAGCATCAACCTCGGTGCTTACGTGTACAAACCCTAGAGCAGCCCACATTCTAGGATAGAATGAGACTAACTTCTTTCTGGTGCAGTGGGAGTATTGTTGTCAGGCTTGATAGAGTGAGTTATAGAATATAAAAGCAAAGAAGTGTTTAAAGCAGTGTTTAAATAGTGGCCAAAGCCTACTACTCTTTTTTTTTTCCATCTGCATGTTGCCTGTTCCACCTTAAGAAAAACAAAGTACTTTTGGAGTTAAAACAGCAATAATCTGCATTTGTCTTGCCTTTCCTAGCTCAGTGATATGAAAAAAAATCCAAAGCTGAAGCATTTTTATGATCTTGAACACTGATATCTCTAACTTCAATCAGCACAAAAGAAGTATCCCCAAAAACTCATGCTTAAGAAACCTTTCTTTCCTATATATGTAATTTTAATCATGTCATTGCCTGGCTGTAATGAGCTGAAACCCTTCCTATCTCTTAGACTTCCAATCAATGAAAATTTATATATTTTGCTTTTCCTTTGTTACCATTTGGTAACAAATAGCTCATAAATATAATCTAACGTTGCTGTCACCAAACATGCCCCTCAAATGAGCTGATTCCTCACTTCCTAGTCAGAAATGTTCCTGCTCATTACACCTGTCTGGTTTCTAATTACCTGATCTATCCTTTCAACCTATGTATCTAGATGTCATTTCATCACGATCATAACATTTTGAGTGTAATTTCAATCTTCTTATAAATTATATTTTGCTCGCATAATACTATATATGTTTTTAGTTAAAAGTGGTAGAAAAAGGACTTTTAAATCTTATCTTTTTTTTTGTCCAGGTATTAATTGCTACATGCCAGCCAATGGAGAAACAGCATCAATAGTCACTAATCCCAATATTCCAGTGGATATTTCTCTTGGTTTGCTCAAGGGGGATTCAAGTCTTGGTAATTGAATTGTTCTTAACCTTAAGGTTTAGGAAACAGCCTACTTAAGTTTTAAAAACCTGAAGCTCCCTGTTTAAGTAAAAGTATAATTGAATCATGGCTCATTTGTTTAATGTATTGCCTGGCATGGAACTGAGGCATGAAAGCAAGATTGCCCAGGTCTGTTTGTACAGGTGGAACACACGAAACTCCAAAGTAAAAGTTATATGGGCAACCAGTTTAGCTCACTTCCTCGTGTTGCTAACAGGAAAAATGCATGTGCTTGGATATCGGTGAAGGCAAGGCTGGAGTTTGAAATGATGCTCACATTTGTCAAATGGCTTGCAAACACTGATTATCTGTACTCACCTGCAAATGAAGCATCATAATTTCAGTGTTGGTCATGCTCTCTGTCAGCATGAATCCCTAATACTGCACAGAAAAATAATTAAACTAAAGTAGGAAGGATGTGTATTTATGTTGTAGCTTTCACAGCATATTTTGCAGCCTGTGAAAGTACTTATAAAGTTTAATAATTATTCTAATGTAGAAAATACAGTAGCCAGTATTCCCTTGCAACATCCCACAAGTAGTAAAGTGACAATGATCAGAAGATCAGATTATTGATAATTGAAGCATTTTGGTCATGTTAGCAGGAGTGTTCACCTGATCTTCTTCCAGTAGTGCCATGGGACTTTCTTATGTTCACTGAGAAAGGTCTTGGTTTAATGTCAAACTCAAGCTCGCCCCTTTGCCGGTCCCTAGTACTGCATTGAAGTGGTAGCCTAAATTTTATATTTAGGCCTGTGGTGTGCAACTCAAATACCCAATCTTCTGACTCAGAGGTGAGAGTGACACTTCTGATCGAAGACTGATACAACTAAAAGCAGTAAATCTGATGTGAACATTTGGAAGTTTTTTTCCAGTAAATGTACAGAAAGGAGAAGAAGCTTATAATGTTTTAAATGACATCTGGACGCCAAAGTGCTTTCCAGTCAATGAAGTGTAGTCACTGTTGTAATGTAGGAAATGGGCAATCAACATACGAGAGCAAAATCCTGCAAACGGCAATGACGAGATAATCTGTTTCTTGTGATGTTGATGGAAGCGTACATATTAGCTAGGACACTAGGGAGAACTCCTCCATTTCACATTAAGCAGATTGATAAATTTGCTGTCTTTAGAAGAGTTAAAAGCGGCTGTTATTTTCAAACCATGGACAGGTTTCTTGTGGTGACGCTGATAGCTTTTTAATAAGGAGGGGGACATCATCCAAGATAGTTCACAATGTTTATCTTAGACTGTCCCTGTAAGGTCCAAGGTCTAATTGTTATTGAGTCAGTTAGTGGCTAAAGTTTGCCTTTTTTTAACAAGTGGTAAGTTGTGATTTTTGACATTCCATGCTAAGTGTGATGGATGCATCATGAATAAAATACCTGAGATCTCCTGTGACGTTACTGGATGATTGGAGTTTATAACAATAGAGATGATAGTAAAACTATGACACAAAAACTAATTCTGTAAGAATGCAGGATATTAAGATTAGTGGACGGGTAAGCTAATTTTCTTGCATTGTTCTTTCATACCTGAGGCTAGGATTCTTAAAAGGGGCAATGGGATTGATGTCTGCAGTGGACCTAAGAGACCTATCTTCGGATGCCATGCTTCACAATGTCACCAAACATTACTTTCTGACTATTACAGTCTTTGTTAATGGCTGATATTTTGGTGGTGTTCTGAGATCTCAGACCTGTTTTGCTTCTTAAGCTGTTGGTTTATCTCCTGTTTTGTAACTTTGGCTGTGCTGCCCTCAGTTTTACCAGTCATTACCAGATTTTCTCATTTCTCTCTCCTGCATATGTGGCCGAGGAGTTGTAATTATTTTTGATAACCATTGTAAAAGTTCTTCGGCTGCTCTCTTCAAAACTTCCTCATTGGTCATGTGTGTTATCCAACTAATCTCATCATGCTTTTCTTAAGCCACATCTCTGTTGCGTTTAATTCCCATTGTCTGCCGTATGTTCCAACATTGCCCTGTTATAATAACACTGACCAGATGTAGCATTTCAGAAACCTCATTCTGCTCTTCGTAGAGGTGCTTACTTTTTTTATGAAGAGGTCTGACATTTTGGTGAAAGTTTGTTTTGTTAATGTTACATGCTCCCTGATGTCTTGATAACTTTCATGAAGTGGAATAGCTTAGCTATTTTTAACCAAATTTCTAGTGAATGAAAGCCCTTACCACAAAACTTCCCCTTATCTGCATCAGTTGAGATCATGTGTTGTTTCAGTCTGGCTGACCACAACAATGTGTGATGTATGTATGTGCGTGTGCGTGTATGTCAGTAGTAGACAGTGTTACAGGAGGCAACGTTTTCCACTTGTATTCAGCGAATAGGCAGGTAGCAACCCCAGGACACGGGGATTTGAGTCTGCAGTGGTGACTGAAGCTGAAAACCTAAAGAAGAAGTAAATTATTTACGTTGCATCAAAGTAACGTACTGTACAGTGCCTGCAGAGGTTTGAAACTGATCAAAATTTCAATTTATTAGATGATTTATATGAAAATAACAAAACCAGGTTTTCATGAAATGCAGGTAAACAGAGTCATTGATACTTATGTTTTATGATCTCTGATTTTTCTCCCTCTGTTCAATAGGTCCAGTACCTGATTCAAAGAAACCAAAACTAATGCATGGCACGCTGATTATAAAGGATAATGTGAGTAATGCATGTTTAAATTTAGGGATTAGTTGAAAGAGGAAAAACGCTGAAAGTCACTTGCTACTGTTGCTTTTACGTTTAGAGCCTTCGCCTAGTTTCACCTGAACAGGCTGTGAAAGAATTGGGTCTCAGTGAACATCACCTTCGTTACACATGCAAAGTTCAGATACAGGACCACCACTCCGAACAAGACACCTTAAACCGAATATACAACCACCTGAAAAAGTGAGTACATTGCCTTACATAGGCCAACCGAGATAATACCTAGCTTTATTTAGTTTTATTGCAACCATAGCAAAATGCAGGTGTGAAGTTAGATGTATGAAGCAAGAAAAAGATGTTGTCTGGAGCAGTAGTTGAAAAGGATATGCAGTGGCAAATAATAAACTAAGAAATGGCTAAACAAGGAAGTGTTAACCTTAAAAAAAAGGTTTGGGACTAATTACTGTTCATTTCAAATGACTGCTGCACTGTAGGAGTTAGTTTTTGTATTTTTACTCCATGGCTGGTACAGTTTTGGATCTGCTATGATACCTTCTTGGGTTTGATAGTGTTGGAAGCTCCCACACTTGGATCTTATGTCCCTTATGCGCTGGAGTTGAATCGCAATCAGCTAGTATCTACATATATCACAACATAAATCAGAGGACATTGCATTACTTGTCAAATGGATTGGATATTGTGGAGTAACCTAGACCCTGAACATCGTGGGCCATGCCTAGAAGGGAGCAGCAGCAAAGAGATTCGCAATGTTGAGAATATAATGTTCTATTTTCCAACTGATTGATTGTTGAATGGCAAGACAAAATTTTCACTAGTGAGCGCGAGAGGCCTATTTGCATTATTACCTAATCTCACCGCGTTTTTATTTGGTTTCCCATTCTCCCACCAGCCAAATAGAAATTAGATGGTGACAACTCAAAGTCATAGCAATAACCTGGTGACTTCAGCTTGCTACTAGGCCTTCCAGATCTCCATCTTGGACACTCAGGACCAACACCTTCAGGTGCTACTCTATGGACAGTAACTGCACACACTCGGTATCCAACACATAATAGCCTTTTCGTGGCACATCTTTGATATACTTTGTGTGGTTCTGTACTGCAGTGCTTCAGTTTAGAACACACCAGCACTTTACATTGGAATACTGCTACAAGGATACTTTGCACTCAGGGACAGGCATCAAACTCATGGATTCAACCAGGTTGTGTCTCAGCGCTGCTTGCTCACTCTCTCAGCACTCACTCACTGTGCCTACTTCAATGCTCACTGCATCCCTGCCTTGCCCCCTCAGCCAGAGCTTAAAGGCTCACAGTATTTCTGTCTTGCTTTGCCTTTCAGTGTAGACACAAAGCACGACACTTGTTATGATTGTCAGCTAAGGGAGTGGAGCTGTGTCAATCTCTCATCTACAGCACATAACAGTAGCCTAGCTGGCAAACACTTTGCATGTGTCAAAGTCAAAGGGGAATAGTCCTCAGTCATGTCAAGGGGGAGCAGTCATCAGTCAGGCTGTTGCGGAACATTAAGTCACAACATTGTCTGAACTCAGTCTGGGGCCTTCAACAAGGTTAGTTGACTGTTTGGGGTGGACACAGTTAGTGGGTGCAATTCACCACAACAAGCGGAGTGGTCCATGATAGGTTCTGCAGATCCAATTCAAACAGTTACGGGATTTGTGACAAGTCAGACGGAGCTACGCACAGATCCATCAGGGACCTGGCAAGTCATCAGTCAAACTGTTTATCCAAGTTTTTCAGTCCTGCTGAATGTAGGTCAATAGAGGCATATCAGAGGATACCATTGTGTTAGGGAAGTTGGTTAAATCAATGCTGAGAATTGGAGACAGCAACATTGGATGCAGAAGGATCAAAAATGGTGAAGGGGAAAATTTGACATATGGGGAGGAAGACGACAGTGCCTGGGAGGAGATACTGCAGGAGCAGGAATTATCAGTCATCACCAGTGTGGCCTTGATGTGGGGGACTGGGCAGCATGATGGTGTGCATGACTAAGCTGTAGGGCTGGGGCTCCGGGATTAATGATGAGAGCTGCAGATGTAATTCTAGGTGATGTGTGGAAGTGTATGGATGATCAGTACTAATGGGCTTGAAGGAAGTGTAGTTCATTTGTGGGGCTAGTGGGCAGGCTTGATTAACTAGGGAGAACCTGAGACACCCTCTGCTTAGCGCAACCCACATTGCCTTCCATATTTAATTGACTCAAACACGCACTGAAAACGAAAAATAGCTACAACCAAACCTGGAGTGGGGGATATCGGTGTTTGTTTTCCTGTCTGAGTACACTGGCTGTACTTGTGTGCAGCATCAGGCCCTTCAAGAAACAATTGCATTAATTGGGTGCTTTCACAGTCCAGGTAAAAATTATGTGTTCATAGCATTGCGCACGTGAAACGTACAACTGTTTTGGGCAGATGCTAGTTGCAAACAATTGGTTGTTGCAGATTGAAGGTAGTCATCTCTGATGCAGAAATAATCAGAGTGACGGTGACCTTACAAGTGACAGTTGCTGGCCGCAGCACAAAGACACTAAGAATTCAGAGACTGCGCAGGAGCATGGAAATGATTTCCTCTGTCCTTGAACTTGAAGTGTTCAGCAATATGGTGTTATGTGTGATTTCTTGAGTGATGTAGGGTTGGGAGGGCAAGATCTCTACTCGCCCAACGTTTATAATTTCCTGCTGTAACTTTGCAATGTGACTGACACCACAATTTATCAGAATAAGGTGCAAAGTCAAAGTTCCATGTGGAGACATTCCATGACCCTGCTTGTT